CTCTATTTAAGCATAAAAGATGTATTGGATCAGACTAAACAGCTCTCTCGTGTACCTCCTGTTTCCCAGAATGGCTAAAAGATGACATTCAGACATGTGGCTCTGAGCAGTGGGCATTCAGGGACACAGGACTTCTGTTCCTGGTGGTAGTAAATGCAACTTCCCAAATTTCCAGGAATACCACTTCCGGCTCCTGTTTTCCAGCAACTGCTTTTTAGAGGCATCCTATCTTTTTAATATTTTGAGATAATTTATGATGATGTAGACTAGTAGCCTTGAACTGAATTAGCCCCCAGAGTTCCTCCATTCCCCGTATAGATTATTCTAAGCTGGTTACCATCACTATAGCTGTGTCAATAGGTGTCATAGTTCAACAGAGCCCATCAGATGGCTAGTATAAATGTGTTGTTGTTGCCAGGGGGACAGGGGGTTGGGGGTTTTGTATTTGGGATTTTTATTCCTGTAAGCCGTCCGGAGTCACCATGAGTTGAGTTGGGCAGCCATATAAATTGCTTAAATAAATAAAAAATAAATAAAACGATGTCCTTCTCTGATTCAGCCAAGCTCATTTCTGTATATGTTTCTATACCAGCCTTCCCCAACTTGCCACTCTATTGGGAATTCATCTCCCTGAATTTCCAGGCAGTTCCACTACATCTGTAAGAAACTTGGCTGAAGAAGGCTGGTCAAAGGGTCACTCTAGCAAACCCACAGAGGAAAGGTCTCCCAGCTGGGAATGGACTTTGTGCTGTTCCCAGTACTGAACCTTTTCTTCGCCAACAGGATTTCCACTTTCTAAATCTGATCTGCTCTCCTGGATGGATCGAGAAGATTCATGGATTCCAGAACTTCAGGGATGTGAGGACAGGGCGATGCCAACTCATATAAGCCCAGGTGAGAATTGTGGCTTGTTTGTTTTTAAATATATGCGATGGAATTTCAGCACTTAAGGGGAAAGTTTTGTTCATAACCATCGCTAGATTCTGGCACAGAAGCCCTGAACAGTGCAATAGGGTAGCTATGGATTTTACATTTATCTTCAAGACTTTTCAGCAGGATGTTGGGGGGGGGAAATAAATTGAACGACTTCTACAATAGATCAGCCTTTCCTCTCCCACATTACTTTTCATCACCTCTTAAAACACCAAAGCTCGAGGAAGTTATAAATCCAATTAGACAGTGCATTCCAGAAGAACAATAAATAGTGGAACAGAACTAATAAAAATGTTTACAAAGTTACGAGAAAGCTTGTTTTTCAGAACTTTTCTTCTGATGAGAGAAAGAGGTGTCATAGAAAAATACCAACATTTGCAATCTCCGAATCTACAACGTGAACTTATATAGGTTGATTCAGCTCACGGAATTCACAAGGACCTATTCAGGAGCAAGTATAGGGCTGAATTCAACCACTGGTGGCAGGTCCATGGTAGGACCACCAGAACCGAGCTGCAAAAACCCGGATGACAATCAGACGACAATTAATGTTTCACCAATTTTGTATAACTTACAATTATTCAATCAATTTTTCCTAACAAATATGACTGCTTTAGTCTTTGATACAAACTGAGTCTGTATCTATCTAACATTCTGGCTAGCATTTATTGTATATGATTTGAGTTTTCAACAAATAACAAAGCATGAGCTACACCCGCAAATACAGATACATTCAGTTCCCAACCTACCTCTGACATCACCACAGGCATTCCTTATATATCTATCCATAAATAGATGAAACAACTAAGGGAGTTTCACACATTCTTGCCTTACTCCCTGCTCAGTGTTGAACTATTTGCTAATCATTTTATTTAGGGGTTAAGACACCAGGCTAGAGTACAGGAGACTGTGAGTTCTAGTCCCACCTTAGGCACGAAGCCAGCTGGGTGATCTTGGGCCAGTCTCTCCCTCTCCGCCCTAGGAAGGAGGAGGAGGCCAGGACAAACCATTTCCGAAAAAGTTTGCTGAGAAAACTGCAGGGACTAGTCCAGGCAGTTGCCAGGAGTCAAAACACATACACCAAAAAAAATAAACCTGCACCCACCACATTCAGAAAACTCCATATTCTATTATTCAAGCCTATTCACTGTCAGCACACACTCATCAAATGGGCAATACACTTTCTGTCTCATACATTGCTCTGTGTCCTGCTGAGGAGCAAATATTTCATCTGCACACCCTCACCTGACAATAAAACCCCTTGTGCTTCCCAAATGTTGCTCATTGTCCCATCTTGTACCCTTTCAATCAGAAATCTGCCCAACACCTCCTCCAGATGCTTAGCAAATTACTGTCACGTGTGCCCACATCAGTTAGACTGATGCCAGTTCATACTTTCTGACTTAGCTCTTTCATTCATAAGTCAGCCTTCCCTGCATCTCTTCATCAACCCCATTCCACAAGATAGGACCACCTTCGCCCAGATCCATCACATCCTTCCTCTTTCTCTCCGTTTTACAAGCACACAACTTACTTAATCTTCTTGCTTGCCTCTCATTCATCAGTTCGTGCCCTTGGTCATTTAGCCCGCTTACATGCCAAGGCGCAATCTTCCACATGCCGTGGGCATCACCAGATCAGCTCATAGAGATTCGGTTTTGCCACCCACCATGGCTTTGCTCCCTTGAGGTTTTCACAGAACACTTTTGAGTAGCAGAAAGAAGGTGCAAACTAGGTTACCAGCCTTAGTGGTTCTCATACCCCGTGTGGCATTCCCTCTGACAGTAAGAACAGTACTGGCCAATTTTAGCAGATTTTGCCAGTATGTCAGAAAGGCAACAGCAGGCAAGTTTTATCCCAGGTTTGCTCATATATCCTCCACAAGCTAGGATCTCTAATCCAAAGTGTGTTTTGCAAGCCAGTGTCTTGTTGCCAACATCTCGCCAACTTGAAGGCATATGCAGTGTGCTGACCCACGTAGGGTGTAAGGTAGAAATATAAAATGTTTAATACAAATACATGTTGAAATAATGTTACAGTTAACCTCCAGTTAATGGCTTCTGGGAAAGGATGGCTTTCAAGTCATCTCTGCAACACTTACTTCCTCAGGGGATGAATTGCGAGGAAAGAATGAACCTGTTCCTCCAGCAGTATTTCCTAGCAAAACAGATCTACAGGAGGGGGATGTCCTAGAAAGGAATCTAATGGAGGCAGAGAGCCAACCATCAGGGACAGGGCTGAGGGGCTCCCGAACAGACGGAAAGGAGCAGCAAGAGAAACCCCTCCCACAGACAATGGTTGCTTCCAATCCCCAGATGTCCCTGAGGAAACCACCAGCCCATGGCAAGAACCATCAGTGCCCTGAGTGTGGCAAAAGCTTCAGCCAGAAGTCCAACCTTCTCCGGCACCAGAGGCTGCACCTGGACCAAAGACCCCACAAGTGCGACCAGTGTGATAAAAGTTTCTCTGAGGCCGAGGCCCTGGCCACGCACCACAAAGGCCACGCAGGCAACAAGCCGTACAAGTGCGAGGAATGCGGGAAAAGTTTCAGCTGGACCTCGCACCTGGAACGGCACCGGCGGATCCACACCGGGGAAAAACCATTCCAGTGCAAGGAGTGTGGGAAGGCCTTCAGTGTTGGATCGCATCTGGAGAGGCATCGGCGGATCCACACCGGGGAGAAGCCCTATCAGTGCAAAGAGTGTGGGAAGAGCTTCAGCGTCAGCTCCACCCTGGTCCAGCACCAGAGGACTCATGCGAATGACAAACCCTACCAGTGCGAGGACTGTGGGAAGGGCTTCACCCTTGGAGCCAACCTGGTGGCTCACCAGAGGAAACATCTGGGCCAGAAGCCCTATGAGTGCCCCGATTGCGGGAAGAGTTTCAGCTTCACATCTCACCTAGAGAGACACCAGCGGATCCACACGGGGGAGAGGCCCTACCAGTGCCCTGACTGTGGGAAGAGTTTCAGCCGCAGCTCCCACCTCTACAGGCATCAGAGAATCCACACGGGTGAGAAGCCACACCAGTGCACAGATTGTGGCAAAAACTTCTACCTCAGTGCGGCCACCCTCCACCACCTCCAGACATCCCCAGCCCGGAGCAGGGATCCCACCAAATGCACTGAATGTAACCGCAAGCGGATGGCCCCACAGCCTCCGCCCCCTCCCCCTTCTCCCCCAGTGTGTACCGAGAAGCCCTATAAATGCCCTGACTGTGGGAAAGGATTCGGCCAGAGTTCGTCACTGGTGAAGCACCGGCGGATCCACACAGGAGAAAGGCCGTATCAGTGTCTGGAGTGTGGGAAGAACTTCAGCTGGTGTTCGGCCCTGATCAAGCACAAGAGGACCCACACAGGAGAGAAGCCATATCGGTGTGAAGACTGCGGGAAAGCTTTCAGCGTCAACTCCCATTTGGAAAGGCACCAGCGTGTGCACTCTTCTGACCGGCCCCACAAGTGTGCCGAATGTGGGAAAACCTACAGGGAACTGGCCTCGCTAGTCAAGCACCAGAAGTCCCACATGGCCGGGAGCAAGCGCTATCGGTGCCCTGACTGTGGGAAAAGCTTCAGCTGGAGCTCCCACCTGGAAAGACACCAAAGAGTCCACACAGGGGAGAAGCCTTACCAGTGCAGTGACTGTGGGAAGTGCTTCAGCGTCAGTTCCCACCTGGACCGCCACCGGAGAATCCACACTGGGGAGAAACCGTACCACTGCGGCGAGTGCGGGAAGAGCTTCAGCGTCAGCTCCACGCTCTTGCAGCATCAGCGGACTCACTCGAGCGGAAAGCCTCACAAGTGCAAGGAGTGTGGAAAGCGTTTCGTGGCCGGGGCACAGCTGCTCACGCACCAGCGGGCCCACCGGGGCGAGAAACCCTACGACTGCACGGTCTGCGGGAAGAGCTTTGGCTTCGTCTCCCACCTGGAGCGGCACCAGAGGGTCCACACGGGCGAGAAGCCGTACCAGTGCCCCGAGTGCGGGAAGTGCTTCAGCCGCAGTTCGCACCGCAACCGCCATCAGCACACTCATGCGGCAGAGGGGTTCCCCAAAGGGCGATCTGAAGGCCAGAAAGGCAGCTGTGTTTCGACCGAGGCCAAGCACCCCAAGGAGCTGCTGCCTGTTGCTCCTGATCCTCCTCCTTCTCTCATGCCCTCCTGGTGGAGTGAGGGGGACAGGAACAGCATCCCCCCAGCTGCTTCCACGTGGCCCGAGGCTCCACCACCTTTCCAGGGCCTCATCCCCAATGCTGTCCCAGCTGGAGGGCTGAGGGGATGGGGTGGGAAGGGGTTCCTGCCTCCAGATACATGGAGGGTGGGGGAAAGCAGCTGTAGATGGACGTCCCCCTACCCTCAGGAGGGATGGCCGCAACCTCCCCCAACATCCTAGCTGCTCAAAGCAATTTTGTGGGATGGATAGGTTGAGGGAAGCAGTGATCTTCCCTCCACACTCAACAGATTGGGCAGAGTGCTAATTTTGTCACATGGGAGCCAAGGAGAGCTTGTTTGGCCTGGGTTGGGATGGAAACCTACACGGATAACATCTGTCCTACAAGAGAAGGAAGCCACATTTGTGTTCTTCTGATGGAGGTTTACATGGGCCTGGAACTTTTGATGTGAGGCGTGCTCAGAGTTGCAATAATCCTTGGATCCTCTGCATTCTGAAGTGGTAGAGTATTGTTGTAGAGTTCTTGGTACTCTCTGAGCTTGCTTGTTGCTTGCAAACATCTGCAAGCAAACATCTGTGATGTTACCTAGTTGAACAATGAAACATCTGCAAGCAAACATCATCCATGATGTTCCCTAGTTGGGTAACGAAACGTCTGCAAGCAAGCAACCAAGCTCAGAGAACCCCAAGAACTCCACAGTTCAACCCTGAGCTGCAGATAGTCTCTTCTGTTGGGAGAGTACTACTGCTTTTACTGATGGTTTGAACTGGCTTGTCACCATCATTTGCTGGGGAAAAGCTTAAGAATCTGCAAGATGAGCAAAGGCTGTAGGCTCCCTCTTTACCTGATGAGTATGATAAGTGGAAGCATAGCAGAAATAGGGTGGTATTGTCCATGAGGATCCATTTATTTACAGGTAGGAAGTCCCAGGTACCTTAAGGCATCCAAAGGTTTATCTGGCGTTGCACCAAAGTCTGCAGAAAACACAGTTGAAAGAAGCATTTAGCCTGCCTAAAGTGGGAGAGCCTTGAGAGCCAATCTTTCCTTTCTGGTAGCATCTTACTGCAAGGGAGTAAGGAAGGAAATCTGAAACCAGAGCAGATTCCTCTTCTGCATGGCACGTAGTGCAGGGGTTCAACATCTGTGCTGCCTGCAAGCTGTCCCAGAGTCAATCTCTGCATCTCCAGGTGGGAAGAGACCTGCTGGAGATCCCAAGGAGCCGCTGAGAGTCATTTCAAGCTATCTGTACTGACGGGACCCCAACAATCCTGACCAGTGACGATGCTAGCTAAGAATCATGGAGGTTTGGTCCAAAACAGGGGTGCCGAGCTTGGGCAAGATGATTTACTGTAGATCAATAATGGGAGCCTATGGCCCTCCTGGCAGTGTTTCAAGTCCCATAAACTACTGCAGTCATTGGAGATGATGGAAAATGGTGCTGTCAGTCTTGCGAGGTAGTCCAGACAGGAAGCATGCCTGGATGAACTAATTCTACTTTATTGTAAGGTTACATTAACAAAATCATGCACGTCTGAAAGTACATCTCTCCCCCACCCTCACCTTTACAGCCCAAAAAACTAGGGAGGTCCCTTCTGAGTTGTTTGCCACTCCCCCATTCCATCTGCGGGCTCAGCTGCCGCTTATCTGACTGTTCCCCTGGCTGTGGCTCTTCCCCCCGTCTCCCAAGGTCATTCCCACATAACATTACAGGAGTCTGGTACCATCTGAAGGGTCACAGGTTTCAGTTCACAGTGTCGATAATATAGTGCTGGATGGACCAACGGGTTTCTCAGCACAGGGCAATTTTGCATTTTATGGAAAAAAGGAAGATCTCTTAAAATAGCTGTTAGCTAAAATAGCTAAAATAGCATCTCTCTTAAAATAGCTGTTCAAGCTGAGATTCATTTGAATGGTGATCTATACAATCCTGGTGAAGCATCAGACATACATTTGCTTATCTAATGCAAGAAACTGCCTTGTATAGAGTCAAAGTCTTAGTCTCTGTGTTTCTCAACCTTGGCCACTTTAAGATGGGTGGACTTCAACTCCCAGAATTCCCTGCTGGCTGGGGAATTCTGGGAGTTGAAGTCCAGACATCTTCAAGCTGCCACGGTTGAGAAGGCTGGCTGGGGAATTCTGGGAGTTGAAGTCCACACATCTTAAAGTCGCCAAAGTTGAGAAAC